AAAGTTAAAAATGCACATATTATATAATTTTGTAAATTATATGATCAATTAATAAAGCTCCCACCATGTTTTTCTTGTTTTTCTTTTCCTTTAAAGATTATTATTTTTTATTCAATGAAAAGATCTGCACTGAATTTAGCCAATTAGAATTTCTTTTCATAACGTTGATCATTACGGGGTATTATTCCTGGTTGAATTTAGTCAATCAGAATTTCTTCTAGAATTTTTCATACCATTGACCATTATGGTATTTAGTATTCCCATCTATGGAAATATCCCTGACTGTAGTATACAAAAGAAAATTAAATTAATAAAAATTTGATCTGCATGTTTACATGACACAAAATCCTTACTATTAGATTTTATTATTTGGTTTCCCCTATATTTGTGATTATACTAATATCTAACACCCCAATATATGGTGAATTCACATAGTTATAAATATAGTTATTGTTGAATATCATGATTTGTAAGTTGAATCCTTTCCTTGGCTTTATTTATGCAATTATTACAAGTCATTTCACATAACATAATTAAATTAATTAGTTTGTTTATCAAACAAAACTATCTATTTTTTTTTAGAAAAATGTCCACATATAAAATGGTGGTTGTCACCATTCTACATCAGGAAACTTTTCCTGCCGTAATATTACATCCATAAGTTTTAATATGAAATGTTGTAATATTTCGCATAAAAAGGACATAATATTTACACTGAATGTAATAATTGCATAATTTTTGTGCAATTTTTGCATAATATTACACTATTTATGTAAGTTTATGGTGGGCCCCATAATATTATGTAAATTTGCATCAGAAAAAATTTCCTGATGTAGTCTATTAAAAAGAATGGCAAAGAAGAGGAAGAGGGATTATAAAATACATTTAAGGTATGTGACTTTTTTGTTTTTATTTTTTTAATATTTATATATTTATATAACCTTTCTTTTTCATTAAAAAAAGTTAAATGAACTTAATGATCCTATTAAATTTGGAAATTTACAAATAATCAAAGAATATTTTTCTAATGTAAAAATCACCGACTCAATGCAATACAATACCCTGATTATGTCCTTTGTATTGGACCTTAATAACAAGCACCTAGTTAGAAGGAATTTTCAAATCATGTTAGAATGCTATAAAAATTATATCCTATCAAATCTCAACCCAGCAAGGTTGGCAAATGTACAATCCATTGATGGTCTATTGGTGGTCTATTGGGTCCATTAGTGAAATACTTTAACCATATCTAGTATTTTATTAATGGCAATGGACTAGTCAATTTGCCAACCCTGCAATCCAGTAATTGATATTAAAATCATGAAATTTTTAGAAAACTTGCAAATAAAGAAACTATTCAAGAAATTAAGCGAATTAATTATGTAGAATTCTACAAACTTACCAAAACATTAGAAAAACTGGCATTGTTATGTGATGATAAAAATGATGGTAGCTGTGAAGGTGAAAATAGTATAGACGATGAATATAATGATTAATAATATGTTCATGTTGAATATTTTGGTGGAATTGGCAGCAAGAATGTAGGTTTGGTATACATAAATTATTAAATGCATTCAATATAGATTAAAATTACTTTTAAAATCATTATATAATGATGGAAACATTTGTTATTAATTATTAATAAATTCTATAGAATAGCCAAGTGTATACATGCTGCCCAAATCTCAACCAATAAGCACCTGGAAGTTGTGAGGATAATAAGCAATCCCTTTGTTATGCTGGACAGGAGAGCAAGTACAGGAATCCGATCTACTGTACATTTGGGATTGTGCATTTGGGATGCACAAATTAATTTTAATTTGGATGGCATCTATAGCCAAGTGAGAAAAAACATGAGCATGATAAAATAATAACAACCATTAGTGACATCTCTGAAGGTGGAGTCTGCTGATTCCACTATGGAATTTTTAGATAAAGTTTCTGGTGTGTCATTCAAGTGGTAATAAAAATAAAAAATAACAACTAAATGATATTAATACCAATTAATTTAGGGTTGAGTTTGCCAGTATATCATCAAAACAGTAGAAATATAAATTAATAGATTATATCTCTACTTAACTAGACTATGTATCTACTAGGATTAGACTATGTATCTACTTACATACAACAGTGGTGGATTTTTGTCATCAGGCCACATGCGACCTATCATCAGGATAACAATGTGGCCAATTTTTGTCATCAGGCCACATGCAAACTATCATCAGGATAACAACATAGCCAATTCTGAATTTTTGGCTACATTTGAACTTTCATATATTGATTGCAAGGATGAGACATGAAGTGTTGAATTGGCAATCTGTATTTTGGCCTTGCATGTTGAGGCATAAAATGCCAAAATAGTATTCATGATCTGGCATTGTATCTTGAATTTGAATTCCATCTATTTGGTAGGACGCAAAAGCCAAATTTTTTCTTTCTTTTCCTATATATAATTCTACCTTTGCATCCTACCAATTGTTTGTGCTATTAGGTTCTAGAATGCTTTCTCGCATAGCCAATACTTTTCAAATAAATAGGCCATGTCAAAAACACTGAATTTCATTCATTATTCTACAATGAACTCCAAATCTCTGTCTCATTGAAAAGTATATTAAGTTCATAATCTATAGGATTAATTGTTTCCTCTATTTCATATTTCGACCAGGGATACAACCATCCACTCTTATTAACATGATTAATATGATTTAATACATTGCCTCTTTATCTTTTTCTGATTAATTTATTTTGTAACATGTATCTTTCTACTTCTACTGGTTCATAGAAGAGTTCATTACATTTCCCATCTAAAAATCTCATTTTGTTGCTGTGTTTTTTTATAGTCATCAGTACTCATGTAGTTGCTAAATCGCTTACCCTCTTCTTCCTGATGTTTAAGTTGTATTTCCATATATCTTACTGATACTGTCCTCCAATATTGATTTTTAAACTTTTCATGCCTCATATGCAATTCAAGTTTCACTTCCTTATTCCAAGTATGATTAATGCATAAAGCTATACTAAGACCAACCAATGGGAGTTTTTGAACGATTATTGCAATTGTATCTGGAAGCAGAAGTGGATTATATGAATACATTTTTATTGTGAATTTATTGAAACTTGTGGATTTTTTAATCCTGGTTTTGCTTTTTTTATTCAAAAAATTACAGATTCAAAAAAATTTCTTGCTTTGACGTATTACTTTTGTGTATCATGTGCTGAGTTGAATACCTTTGCATATATCAATAAATATATTGCCTACCTGAAATTTTACTTCAATCAAAACCATTTTTGGATTTGGACTTTGTAGATTTTTCTTTATTCCAAATAATAAGCTTATGCACAAACCATATAATTAGTATTGTTATTATTATAAGAATAACAAGCTTAACAATGTGAGGGATTTGATACTTGTCATTAACCAAGGTCTCACATGCCCCTAATGCTCCAATAGGTAATATCTCGGCCATTTCTATTTTAGTTGCATAACTTTGATCATTTCCAATGAAATCGGTTTTAGAGATGGTCTCTTCTGAAAAATTTTTAGTCTCTACTATTTGTGAGTTATCAGCATGACTATCTTCACTGGTAGAAGACTTCATATTAGATAATTTCAAGGAATTGGTGATTTGAGGCTTTGTATCATCATTAACCTTATTTATGGTATCACTGGATTGGTGTGCATCAATTCTTTCTGTTTGGTCCATATTATTTCTATGTTTTAAAAATTTACTAAAATCTAGCTTAGGTTTATTAGATGTGGGAGCATCACTTTGTGATACAGAAGAAGTATCATTGCTGAAGGCAGTCACAGGGTGGCTAAAAATTGATATATTTTTTTCGTCACCTCCGCTAACTGCAGATGAAAATCGAGGTGTGGCTTCCAATTTCAGTTCTCCAGCTCGTTAACTTTTGGGATAATTCATCTTTCATTTGCTCTAATTCAGCTAATTTAGATTTGAGGAACAAGACCTCAGATTCTTTCATGGTTGAGTTTTTTTGAGCTGAAGTGAGGTTACCTCCCAATTTCTTTACCTTAGTTTGGAGCGACTTTGCTTCTTTTGATTTTTCCGATAAAGCATTTTGTATATCATGCAACTTGATATTATAATCATTCATTGCAATCTGCTGGGGGTTATTTTGTGATTTGTGAACAGATATTTCTTCCCTCAATCGCTTAACTTCAGAAATAAGTTGTAGAGCACGAGAGCGAAATCGTTGAATATCTACATCAGCCTGTGTTGTAATTGAGCATTTTCCTGTTTGATATTTTTACTAAACTTTGAATATACCACCTGGAGATTTTGAAATTATCAATGAGCTCAGAATTGGTCTTACTACTAACATGTAATGCATCCTCGAGTTCTTGTTTGCAGATACTGCCAAGCCTATACCCCTGCCCTTGTATTTTTTTCGATTCCATACTTTTGGTATCTTGCAATGTATGCACCTTGGCCATATTATAAAATATAACGAAATATGGGATATATACATAAAGAATATTAATGTTAATTCAGCATACTTATTTGATGAGGCATTCTATGTCATGAGTTATACTCACCCCATATGAGCCTTTTTACCGAAATAAAAATACATAGAAAATCATGAGTTCCTTTCGAAAATTATTATTTCAAAAATATTAGATAAACACCAGTTCTTTTCAAGAATTATCACAAATTATCGCAAATCAAATATATAATTACCTAAAAAATTTATTGATGTGCCGCGATAAAAGTTTTTTGTGAATGATTGATAAATAAATTTAATAAAAAAATAACACGAATATGCAATTTTTATCAATTTCGTCAGACAAAAAACAAATATATTACACATGTATCTATATTGTATTTTTATGAACTGGTTTTTGATGCAAAGTAAGGATAATAAATGGAGTTATTAGTTAATTAACGGTTGATTTAACTTGTTGTAAAAAACCAAACTTTTAGCTAGTTATCCAGGTCTTCACACAGTCCTTGGCAAATTGTTAACACAATACTTGTCGGTAAAGTGTTTTTTCGGTAAAGTGTCCTGTCAGTAAAGTGTCTTGTCGGTAAAGTGGGTGTCGGTAAAGTGTCCGGATCCGTTGTAGTGTATTATTAGCTATTTCGGTATCAATCTTTATCAAATTTCTTCCTGCCACTATTACTGTATTTTGTGCCGAAGTTGATATAATCATTAGCAAAATTATTATTAAATACTTTGAATTTAAACAATAGTTATCAAAATTTTTTTGTATAGCAAAGCATTTTAAAAATTTCATTTATTATTTCTTCCGAAGCATAATATTTTATCAATAAAAGAACATTTACCCACAATATAAAAAGTAATAATATCATGCAAAAATAAACACGATTATATGTGGAATTGAGCCACCAGGGCTTGCTTTACTGATGCGGTAAAAAAGAAAAAAGAAAAAGAAACTTTATTGTTATAAATATAATATAAGATGCATAGATACCCATTACATGATATAATGAATGATAAAATACAGTATAAAAATTTATCTATTGTTTTATTTTTTCTTGTACATGACGCCTTTTACTTTCTGGTTCGTTGCTTGCTGTAATCCTATCTTTTAATAACCTCACAATAATCCCAATTATTTGTTGTACATTGTTTCGAAGAATATCGATATTTTCTTTAATTGCCATTTTAGAAAGGTTGTTACATTGGACAAAATTGATAATTTCAGATGTTTCTGAAAGGAATTGATCCATCCATCCACCTTTTCTTTTTTTATACATGATAAAAATAGACACCTGAGTATGTTTTTAAATTGGTGTATATTTATTTTAATCACAAATTAAAATGTCTGAAAAAAAACACCAATAATGATCATATAATCATTGATGATGATGGAATATGGCAAGCCATATCATTAAAAAAAAAGGATACGTGCTCAGTGTTGAAAATTCGGTGCGGGGAATGCGGGGGGTGTAACATTACACACCAATCAACCTTTTAATTTTTGGAGATAGTTTCTAAATTTGTACTGGTTACACAACGAAATTTCAACACTGTACGTGCTACATTTGAATTTGATGATTTCAAAATGATGCTGTAAGTTTATGATGACAAGTAATTTGTAAAAAAGTATGAAGGGTTGTGCATATTGTTTTTTATAAAATGTTGATATGACAATAAATGTAACTGCTGGACATTCACAAAGTCAGATATTAATGATATTTGTCAAATTTGTAATCATTTAAAAAGTATTCACCATGTTCAAGAACTACAAACATTACATGATTCCAACTACTCTATACTAATGTTAGCCAGTTGAACGTATTTTCACCAATTAAAAATCATATCAATGGATTGTTTAATTATACTTGCTCACATCAATATGGACCTCTTGCAACAGAAGCATTAAATACAAACCTTATCAAACCTTTAATAGTAATAGTAAAAAAAGACATGGATCAAAAACCAGTTTCAACAAGTCTATAACAACAACCATAAAAATATTTGTTTTGACATATAATGTATTGAAACCACCAAAGATCCCTCAAGCTAATACAGAGTAATAGTAAGTATTGTTAGCAACAGATTTTTAAAAATTAATTAAAACATACCTACACAAATGTTTTTTTATAGCTATAAAAATTTAGTTAAACTGAATTTTATCAAGGAGATTTATTTTTCCTGTTCAACTATTGGATCTGAATTTTGAAACTTTGACCTTCCCCCTTCAACCAGGCTCAAATGGTTATATTTACAAGTGCTAACAAAGTATGCAAAACTTTTTTTATTTTCTATAAAATTGATAAATTTATATTTATTCCTTCATTTATTAAATTATTTGGTTCTAATAAAAAGTTGTACATTGGCCCAACTAACAAGCCAATTGATATTAATTAAATCAGCAAGTTAATTCCAACAACATTATAAATAACAACCCCTCTTTGAATGATGTAGGATTTTCTAGTGAAACTTATATCGAAATAGATAATCAAGATCCAGATCAAAATTCTTCAAATTCTATGGAATTCATTGAAAGATTGTACAAAATATATGATAAAGATTACAATATTAAGCACAAAAAAAAACAAGTATATATATATAGTAACATACTTTAAGAATTAAGTGGATTAAATCTGCACCAGATGAAGAAATTCCAATGAAAAGTAATCAATTGCCGATTCGTCTATGAATCGGAGCTAAATTTTAGGGCGATCATCATCTGAATGCGCAAGAATCATATATGTTATATGTAACTTTGGAAAACAAAAAATATCACAACCAAATAAAATTCGGAAGGCAGGAAAGCAAGGTTTGACAAGCTAAACATAATAAAATTTTAAATTCATTACTGCTCGGAAAATTTTACCTTTTGTCTTTTCTATTTCTCATGAGCATTTCCATCATTTTCAAATCCTTTCGTTATTCTCTGGTACTCTTTTTTCTGCTAATTCCCTACTCAAGGTTACTGGATATTTTGTGTAATCCATCCTTGAATAGTTTTGATTTCTGGTATTTCCACTTTTTTTGAATTTCACCTTCTTCCACGAGTTTCTTTAATTCCACCGTCTTTCGCAGACATTCTGTCTGTTTTGCTCACAAACTTTTTGATGTTATACGCTTTACACTACTACGTTGACCATAGATTTATGATTACTCCTGAAAGCCCATCCTTTTTCAAATTGAAAATTTTCATTATATCTAAAAAAAAAACATTTAAGAAGCAATTCTTGTAAAAAAACGTTCTACATGCCCCCCAAAAAAAAATAAAGATGGATTAGGAAACTTTCCGAGAATAACGGTAACGAATTCCATACGAAAAATATTTGAGTTTATAGAAGGGTAGAAGAAGAAGAAAATGATGGGCAACAAATTATTAAATATTTAAAAACTTGAAAATTACTTTCTCAAAAATATTGAGATTTCCTTTTATATTAACTTTTAGAATTCGAAATGTTCGAAATGCCATTATAGTTCACACGCACTCTATAACAATAACGACCTTTTATAACGATAATAATTTCCCTCTATAGTAGTAATGAACATCTTTATAACGAACGGAGAGGACGGAAGATTCGCAGTGGAGAGTCCGAAATAGATCTTGTATTTATTATTTATTATTTATTATTTATTATGCAGATCAAATATATAAATTGAAAAAAAAAAAAATGGAAATAAATTGGAAGAATACATGTGACGTACATACACATGCACATATTGATATTAAGAATATTGAGTATATAGGTGAATTGAAAACAGATAAATTATGTCTTATGGGAACAAATATTAAAGATTTAGATTTAGTAGCAGAGCTTTCAATTAAATATAAGGATAAAATCATTCCATGTTTTGGTAATAATAATAATAATAATAATAATAATAATAATACTATGTTATTTAGATTATTGACAATAATAATCAAATTTTTATTTAGGAATTCACCCTTGGTATGTTCATTTACTATCATTAGAAAATAATATACACAATAATCAAGAACACTATAAATCAATAATTAATCATAAATCAGAAAACAAAGATAACAATGATAGTTCATCATCATATAATGAATTTATTGAAGAGTTGCCAAATCCAATAGCATTTAATATTTGGTATGACAAACTTGAATCTTTAATAATCAAATATAAAGAGAATTGTTTGATCGGAGAAATTGGAATTGATAAATTGTTTAGATTAAAGAATCCAAATATTAATAAGAAATTGAGAATATCAGATTATCAAACATCGATAGATCATCAAGTATTAATATTAGAGAAACAAATTGAATTGGCAATTAAATATGGTAAAAGCATTAGTTTACATTGTGTACAATCGAGTGGAAAAATTGTTGAAATTTTAAAAAAGTTACGACAAAAAAATAATCAACAAATTGACAATAGTGATAATAATTTACAATTGAAAATATGCTTTCATTCATTTTGTGGATCAACTGAAACAATAAGACTTTTATTATCTTTAAAGGGCAATCCTAAAAAGAATAAAAAGAATAAAACACTATCGATAGTATGTTATTTTAGTTTTAGTAAGCTTGTAAATGAAAAATTATCAAATAGATTGCACGATCTGATAAACTTTGTGCCAGAGGATAGATTATTAGTCGAAACTGATTGTCGTTCATCAGTGAATTTAGATTCTTTAATGCAAGATGTTATTCAACTAGTTAGCAAAGTAAAAGGTTGGTCGTGTGATTTTACAATTAATAAATTAAAAGATAATTTTCTAAATTTTATTAATAATAATAACAACAATCATAATAATAATTGTAATAACCTTAATAATACAAATGATAAAGAATGTAATGTAAATGATAACAATAATAATAATTGTAATAATCTTAATAATAATACAGATGATAAAGAATGTAATATAAAATGATTAATAAAATGTAAAATGATTAATAAAATGTAAAATGATTAATGGAATGTAAAATGATTAATGGAATGTAAAATGATTAATGGAATGTAAAATGATTAATGCAATTAATGGAATGTAAAATGATTAATGGAATGATTAAGATTTTCTTATTCTAGATGCTAAAGTTTTCCAAAATATAGTAAAAGAAAAGTTGTCCTTTGTATCATTTGAGGAAGAGATTCTGGAAGCCAATCTCACAAAAGCTTGTTCATAATAAATTGGACAATTTCTCCAAGTCACGGAAGCGACTAAAGCAATTTCATTCATAAGTTGGGAATGAAGTTCTTTGTAAATGTGATTATGTTCAATTTCATTTTGTAAAGTTAATAAGAACAAATAGAATACGTCGTCATAATCTATTTGTTCTTGCTTCTTATACCTCTTTACTAATTTCTTTATGAATTTTTCATTAGGTACTTTTATGGGTATTTTAATACCATTTGAAAACTCTGCTAAGGTGGTTTTTGATGATGTCATTGCAATTTCAGATTTAGTGAATGGGAAGATGGAGCTTTCCCTTCTTAGGTTTAACTTGGAAATTAATTTTAATATTTGGCGAGGTTTGTTAAGAAGAGAGTTGTGAAATTTTTTAAATTTTTTATACAAGACGTCAAAGTAAAGACGATAATGGTGTCGATTATGATGTTTATGTTTATGATGTCGATTATGATGTTTACGTTTATGATGTCGATTATGATGTTTATGTTTATGATGTCTATGATTATGTTGTTTATGTTTATGGTGTTGAGGATGTTTAAACATTTTTATATAGTTTAAAATTTATATAGTAATAATATTTATAACTTTTATATCGCATTATTTTTTTTTAATCAAAGTATGAGATGATTTAATAAGGAAAGTTCGCTTAAAAAAATTATTTAGATCAAGTACACTTTATATATTTTTTTAGTTAATTATACGATTATTTACAATTACAGCGGCAAACAAATTTGGAAGAATTTTCTTTATTACTAATGATAATAATAACGGTCACATTACGACTACATGACTGAAAAATTTTTTTTTTCGAATTTCTAAAAATGCGGGACTTATTATTATGTATTCCGCGTCATTAACAAATTTAGAAATTTTTTCCATTAGTAAAACATTTTTTTATAAAACGTAATTAATAACATATTACTATTACTATTATTATATTTAGAATTTGTGAAGGAAAAGATGCACATAATATCTGGAATAGCTATATTTAGAATTGTGCATATTAAATTACATAATTGTTTTTAAAAACAAACTACTTTCCGAAATCATAAATAGTTTCAGAAAAATGGATGCCCAGATTTAACATTTCCTCTTCTTTCAAAATCTACCACGCTTCTAAAATTGGTGTTTGCAACTGGTTATAACATCCCGAGTGACAACTAGTTATGTTACTGCACTTATGTCCTGGCAATTAAATTGATTTTGAGATGAATTGATCGAGAAAAATTCAAAACTTTAAGATTGAGGCACATCATGTGACAAATCAATAAGGTTGAGTCTTAATTCCTATTTTTACTTTGTCTTGGCTTCAAAACTACGGTTGGCTTTGAATTTGAATTTCTATTTTTGGAGAAATTTACAAGACCAATAAAAGTTTTAGAGACCAAGTGATCATACATATTAATATTAATATGGAATTATTGAAACATAAAATATATTTAATAAACAATTACAAAGGTGTTGCAAATATTTATATGTATATTAATATTTGTATGTGTATTTTGCGTAATAATAGGTTTTTAGTGCAACAAATATTATCAATCAATCAAACTGGAGTTTGAACTACGGTAGATCAGACCGCAGTTAAACCGTATTGGACTGAACCATTAATTACTATTAAAGACCCCCTGATTTACACACATCACAATTGTTATATGATTATACTAAAAAAAGTTGATAATAGAAAAAGTATTATCATGTAAATTCTGGTTGTCACGATCTGCTATGGAAGAATATTTTAAAGAGCAACGTCCTTCATCCTTTCCTTTTTTCAGCTACTTGTCATACGATATAAATGATTATGAAAAATAGAATAAAAAAATCAGCACCATTCAAGAAAAATACCGCAAAAATTTACTAGAAGATTCGAATATGGATGGTGGATAATAATAAAGACAAAAATGGAGAAAGCTGATTACCAATGCGGTTTAATGAATTTTTTTTTTTTTATATTACTGTCTGTTGTCTTACATTTTTTGGGCCTTCTCCTTTTTAGTTGTTTAGCGTCTCGCTTTGGTTTCCTTGGGCCTATTCTATCGAGAATTGAAGGTTACTTGTCTTGTTTTAGTCTCTTGAACCTATTTTACAGATATCGATAGAGTTTTGGTTGAATTTTTTTTTAATTTTTTTATTTGTTTTATTGTTATTTTTTTCAATGCAACCTCTGTTTGCGCAACAAGTTTGTGGGGAGAGATATTTTCTGATTTAGGTGGGATTAGCTTTCATAAATTGATGATAAGAATTCAAGATGACCTGGAAGTGAAGAACAGGCGCAGAAGATAATTAAACAAATCTATTTTGGCAATTTTAACTTTTTTAAATTTTTTAGTATCTTTCTCCAGCAAGTCTACTTTTTGTAATTCAAATTCGAGTATTACTCGTCGAAGATCCGTCTATGAACAACGAGAATTATATAAACAACATCAAACAACCCTATAAAAAATTTTCGCACGGAAATGTACCAGTACTAGTACAAAAAACAGAAACTCCGTTGTTTTCTATATTAATATTAATGTTAATATGAAAAAGTGGTGTGATAAATCCAGAAAACACACGGAATTCCGTTTTCCGTACAATTTCCGTGTAAAACATATTAATATTAATATTGATATTGATATAATGCAAATATCGAAAAAATCACGTCATGCACGGATTGTTTAAACATGCAAATTTTTTTTTAAATTTGGAAAATATTTATAAATCATGTGGTATATGATCGTCGGCCGCTATAGAAAAAATATATAAATTATAATTTAGATGCAGAAACATCCTTTAAAATCAATCTTTTTATACATATTCTGAATAAAATTTAATCTTCACACTAGATAATCAATGATATCAGTGATGATGTTGTACGTGAAAATGAAATTATGTGAATTCGCAATTCACATATGTGAAATTCAAATTTACATGTGTGAAATGAAATTCAAATTAGCCAATCAGAATTTCACCCCACTCCATAATATTTCAATTTCACATAATTTCAATATAGAAATGATGATATAAAATGAGATAAATAAATTGTTCATGATTAGACAAGAATGTTCTCTAAATTCTTGATGATATAACTGATGAGATAATAAAATATTAATGCATTATTATTCATGATAAATCATCAAATGATTAAAGCGAAAAAGTTCTCTTGTATCAGATACTTTATTACAAATAATCATTTTGCTAATGACGAAATATACAAATAAATCACGCATTACTAAAATAGTAATGATGACCCTTCACATAATGAAATATCACGTGAGACCGATTTATCGTGATTCATTTAATATTATACTTGGGCTAAGTGATTGACCGACTTGGCGCTTATCGCGACTTTATACAAATCGACCGGCTTATTGAATTTTTTTAAATATAGTAAAAAAAAAGGGGCGAAAATTTTTGGCCAAAACCGACTTATCAAGTTTACATATTAATAAATATAAAGAATCGGATGTTTCTGCTAATTACACAAAAGCTTATTATTATACTTACATACAATAATTCGCCCTATGCGGCTTAGTTTCTGATGGTAAAATTTTATGTTTCAAGTTTTTCAATAGTTTTGAGTAATAATAGTAAACTTCAATTAAATTCTTTCACATGTGAAAAGTCTAGGTCTTTCTGATTCGCGTAATATAATTTTTATTACATTACTTTTTTTTAATAAAAATTTGACTTATATTTTAAAATGTGTGAGCAGAACGTCCTATACAAAAGTGATGTGTAATACCTACAAAAGTGTCCCCAAAGAAACTGATTTTTCTATTAGTGATTTTGGAACTTTAAAGTGTGTGTGTCATGAAAGAAATTTTCGGACGAATTAAAGGCCAATTTACAATTAGAAGAATTTTGCATGAAAATTGTTTTTTCGTATTCCTTGAGTCAGACCTTTCATTTGGAGTGATGAAGAGTAAGTTTAGAATGATAATCTCAGGTCGTGTATGGAGGAATCCTGGAACAAGATTCAATGTTGAAGACTCTGGACTGACAGTAATGTAATAAAGTTTTTTTTTCAGGTAAAGGATTAAGGCCACTTGTGAAAATAGATGGGAAATGAATACAGTAAGCATGACGACATACAAATTCTTCAATCAAATTTGATACTTTTAATAAATAACGAGTTGAATGAATTGGATATTTATTTAAAGATTATAATGCCACTGTTTGTGCCCTTCAAGAGTGGCTGAAATTAAACAAAAACAAAATTGGCCAAGTCGATCAATCAAATCGATACGGTTCCAAAGACGAGTTTCCAGTTTGTTACCATAACTTAAAGATCTTAAAGAACTTGAAACAAAATTTCTCGAGAAGTTGTTACACGTATCCAGGTACACGACCCCGACAATCACATTAAAGGTTGCATGCAAAGTTATTAGTAAATTTTAAAAACTTTATCCACTTTTCGTGAATTTTTACCCACTTGAGCATATAAACTTAAATCTTTACTCAGTTTTTAGCATATCATGTATCAAAAATTAAATCTTGCCCATTTAAGGATATATGTAAATATTATTGTGTGTATATTATCTGCTTAACCTTGATACTGTTTTTCGATGCAGAGTTAATAACTTTTGATTTTAACTATGGGAAAGAAACATTTATTTACATCTTGGTTTAAAATTTATCAATTCTGACACATAGGGAAACAGCGTAAACAAACTCGCGCACGTTATCTAACCAAATTTGTTAATTATTTGTATATGATCTCCAAGTTTGTTAGATAGCGTGCTTCGTGCACATAAATCATAATTTATGCCATGTGATTTTATTTGGACCAAAGTTCACAAGCTCAAATCTTTTCAAAAGTTAAATAACCATCACTCCAACCCTTCATTCATAGACGGATCGTCAATTAATTAATAAAAGAAAATATTGACAAAATTATTACAAATAATGTCATCTTTTGACCACGTAAAATTTTTTTATCAATCAATTTTTATAATTACTTTATTAATCGGGCAATTAATAATTCTATATTAATAATTTAGAGAGTAGATGCAGAAAAGTTAATATAAAATTATTTCTTTACAAATAATTCGTTTTGTAATGAACATTTTTACAAATTGTTTGAAACAAATCAATTCTTTTTTGTTTAAATGAAATACTTTTGTAGTCGGAAATTAAACAGTAGTAGTAGTGTTTAATATTAATTGTCTGTTTGATTTTCACCCGCAGTTTAGGAGTTTCGCCCACAGTTTAGGTAATTTTAAGTTTCCAGAAAATTTTCATGGGTGAAATTAAAGCAAATTTGCCTAAATGCCTAAACTATGGCCACTATCACTAATGTATTTTGAATATCCAAAAAGAGGGATTAATGAATGGAAACACTACGGTAAAAGACTTTACTCTTGGAGTAAGCATTACTTTTTTCATTAAATAGTTTTATTGTACTCATTAAGAAAAATAATTAAAGCTAGCACCAGCAATTTCAGTTGCTTAATTTTTTGTGATAAGAACTAAATCTATATATCCATGACTTAATTTCTTGGGGAGAAGGAAAACTATTGTTGTTGTTTTTAAAATATTAACGATTTTTCAATCATATCATTATTATTAATATGAAATTTCCCCCACACTCTTATATTAATGGTCAATTTAAATAATCACTGGGTTAAAGATATTCTCATTTGGATAAATATGAATCTTTTTTTATATTTAGTGTATATATTTTCTTCTAAATATAAAAATCATGTAGTTTTACCCAGAATTTTCATATGACTAGGACAGAAAATTTACCCACTCAAGCTAGATGTAACCTCTAATGTGGTTGTTCGGAAAGCCATTAGTTTGTATAAAGTAAGCAAAGATTCGATTTTGAGTAGTGACTTTATTAATATTAAATGCTTCCATACACCAAATTTCTCTTTCAGTTCTGGATGTTTGAATGGTCGTTACCCCTACTTTTTTTCAATTGATCTGTATATACAATATAATGATATATGACGACTTTAGTCATTGACGTAACTAAAGTATTGACTAAAGTAGTTTCTCACCAGGGCCATTTTGACAATTTGACTAAAGTAAAAACCTTTGACATAAGTAAAACCACTTAAGTAATTAAAAATACTTGACGTAAGCAAAACCGTTTGATACATGTAAAAACATTGATACAAGCAGCAATAATAAATAGGATTATCAAAAGTTCCAAATTATGTAAAAATGTGTGTCTCGGAGATGAATAAAGAATTATTATATCAATGTATTATATTGTAATGATGCAAGTAGAATAATTATCATGGGAGAAATTTTATTAATTGTTTTTTCTTTCAAAATTTTTACAATTAAAATTATTCTTTTATTATTTTTATTATTACATTAGGACCGGGAAAACTATATTGTATGTGACCGCCAAATTAAATGACAAATCGTGTTAATGCGAATCGATTTTCCGAACACATTTTAAAATTATTAATAATGCGAATCAAAATAGCCGAGGACATATGAAATTATCTTTATTGATTAAAAATATTTAAAAGAAAGTTTTGTGTACTTGACTAAATTAAACATGCTTCACCATCTACTGCAATCAAAACAAGGATTAATATTAGAATAAGAACGTATTCCCAAAAAATAAACTACTTCTCGTGATTATAATGTCTCCTCCTGCAAAATTTTCACATGAAAAATACCGTTGTGATACAGGAAGATAGGCCTTAATAGAAATATATGATAAATAATCTAAAAATCCTGCTGGCTTTTCTACCCATGAATGTCCTTGCTTCATAAACTTTGCCCAAACACTTGATAATTGGCTCCAAGTGAAATAATTTGACCACATTTACAAATAACTTTTTTAGCATTGACAAATTCTTGAAAGTTAGGGTATGTATGTAGTAAAACGTTTAAATTTTTTTAATTTTATTATTGGTGACGATTTTTTATCAGTATTATTATAGTGTAACCGATAACATTTTTTATTTTTCTATGTCTGCGAATCAGTGTAACCGGTAACATTTTTTTCTTCGAATAATATAAAAGCGGTGACCTTTTCCATTTTCTATCAATGCGAATCTATGGTGAGGCGGTCACATTTTTTTTTTTAAAGTACTTTCGAATCATAGTGTTGACGGTCACATTCAATAGAGTTTTCCCGGTCCTATTACATTTCATAAAATCAAATTGTATTTACATACATATGAATTTTGTTAAATTGATGTTTTTGATCTTTGAAGTTAACTACGCGTGATAGTAATATGCAATAATATTAATAATGTGCTTGAGTTGCCTTTAGTGTCCGAGTTGAAGCAACATAAGTTAATCAATATCGGTGACCTTTACATAACACATAAGACAGGTTTTGGTACATAATTTGTAAGTTTAAAATTTGTTTTCTATTTTTATCACTTTTAATCTTCAAAGAGTGCTGAAATTCTTTTATTGTTGAATCACGATAAATCGATCACTAGAGTTTGGTGATGATGATATTGTTCTTTAAATAATGCAATTTTCGCTTTTCCTTATCAATTAATCCTGTTGGAGAAAAACTTTAAAAGCAATCAAAAAAGTTGTACGAAAAATTGGTTTGTTACACAACATTCAGTTCTCCGCAAAGAAAGATAAGTTTTTAAACGAAAATGTAACGGTGAGTTTTGTGAAATATAGATTAGCATTACAGTGTGTTGATATATTCTGGAGTCATAATATTATAAATCACACAACTCAATCTAGTGTTGGTTTCCAAAACTAGAGAGTTTCGCAACCATGCAAAAGTCAAAAAGGTTTCGCCATAAGTCGAAACTAGTTTTGATTTTTGACTATTGACTTTTGATTTAGTTTTGACATATAACTTTTAATTTTAATTTTGACTTTCGTCTCTTCAAAATAGTTTTGACGACCAACACTAACTCAATCGCATGCATATATATTCGTTTGAGTATCAAAATTAGCATTAGATGCAAAGTATCGCATCCTATCATCAATGATGCAAACTTTAATAAAAACAGACTATTTCATGGCTAGATGATACACTGATTGAGTATCTAATAAATTACCACAAAAACAGACCCGCTACCCCCAAAATGCAAAAAACGGTGTATTAGTTTTGCTTTTTACATTGCATTCGAATTCGAGGTTGAGTCACGTAGTGCTGAAATGAGGTATCTATATGTTTGTTCGGAGCATTAATATTAGCCAATAATATTTTTATTCGTTGCGTTGAGCAAAAAAAATTATTTATTTAAAAAATTACACGTACAAAGGGAAATTGTTCACGAATTTAATAAATTTAATAAAGATCCTTTGCAAAGAAGAACCATCATGTGAATCAAAAGTTAATTATGAATCTTGATTGTTAAAAAAATCAACAAAGCTTTTTTTTTTCTTAATTAAAAAAACAATCTTTTTGTCCTGATCTTTTCCTTGTGTTATATTTATTTATTCCAGATTAATGGTCAATTGGATCAATTGAATTTTTTTTTTCAAGTCTATCGTTATAGAAGAATAAGCTTCATGCAAACATCAAAATTTATTTACAAATTTCGTTTGTTAAAAAAAATCCTTTGCAAAGACTAACCAACGGGTTTTATTTGTTTTCTCCAAAAGGAAATTAAAAATAAAATTTTTTCATCCACTATCCCTCAAATATAGTCAAATTTCAAAAAATTGTTTCGATCATTGAATTGACCGATAATAACAATAACAACATGCAAAAAAGTGTTTTTGAATACCGATTTCGTGACCCGAAAATATACTAACACTAACACGTTGTGTGACAAGTCTTTGACGATTTGGGATCAGTAAAGGCTCCAAGACGAGGCCATAAATTTTTGGTCATTTCAAACGGTCTGAAATGTCAGAGCAAGACGAAAACCTAATGATAGACGCCACGCAAAAAATTTTAAAAAGAAACACGATTTCCTTTTGCTCAAATCTGACGTTTTGAACAAATAACCACAACTATTATATTTTCAAATCAAATTTGCAAATCATTTCAAGCCAGTGCAGCAAAAAAAAAAGAAAACGACTCATTATCCTTTGATTTTGATTTAATCCTTTCCCAACAATTAGTTTACTAAAGTTGAGCTACAAAATGTTTAGAAGATTCGTGATTCGTTATCATAACTGCACTGGATTTACCGTCTCAAGACGAGTCTTCTTATAACAGAATGTTTCCCGTGCATTCAAATTTGGCAAAATTGTTAAAAAAAAAGGATATTACACAAGATATAAAAAAAATTACATTTAGGTAAACACGACACCCTTCTCAAAAAATTTCCAAGTCGAATTTATATATTATATTTTTATATAATGTCGCATGCTAAACTATTATCATCATTATTACCAGAAAGACAGGGTTTTGTACGTAAAATTTATAATGGAATGCATGATAATGTTAATGTCAATTCTGAAAGAGAAAGTAGAAAAGATTATTTTTTTTCATTAGTCAAAAAAAAACAAGGAGCTTTCTGAAAATGAAAAAAAATATTGTAAGGAAAGGCTTATTTATGAGGTTGAATTAAAAAATGCAAGAGATAAATTGGGCAAACCAAAAGAATGTAACAAGTGTAAATTGACAAGATATTCTGATAGATTCTGCGAAGGTTGTATCAGTTTACAATTACAGAGTCTTTTCACCACTTGGACATTGGAAATAACATAATTGATGATTTTATTCAACAATGTCAAATGAAGTCACCTCTGCCAACACATATTTTAGAATGGATACCTTAAAAAAGTGACAAAGTTGACAGAAAGTGGATTTAGTTCAATTTTTACTGCTAAATACCATAATTGGTGTTGAAAATTTATTAAATTTATTAGTATATCCTCCAAGTGATTTTGATGTATGCGAAGATAAATTAAAATGTATTCGTACTCTTAGAAAAAAATTATTAGTTCCGTGCAACAATCTTTAGATAAATATTTTTGTTTAGAATAATTTTTTAAAATTTATATTTTATAACGTTGTAAGCCGAATTTATTTTGAACAATTAATAAAAATCGTTTTTTATCCAGGGCTGGGCTATGTAACTCAAATGAGCATTTTTTGGCTAAACTGACTAAACTATTTAGTCATATGTTAAGTCAAGTTTGGTCAAGTTTAGTCAAGATGATTATTACTAAATTAGGTTTTTAACCCTTTACGCTGTATCATAAACCGAATTTTGATAAGCCGGTCCTATTTTTGTGATTCCCAAAAGTTCGGCTTATCTAGGTTTGACTGTAATCTGGAAATAATCTATTCTTATTATATAATTCGAAAAACGGTTGATGTTGAATTTGTTCATATTTCATATTTTTTTTTTTTAATGAGATTCATGCCCACGGATGACGACAAGATACTTGATGGCATTGCCCGTATCATACCTAGTATAAGATAATCCATACCGGACGACAAATCCCCTGCACTGTATCCTTCGATGCTTATAGTGCCAGCATTCTGTAAGCTAAGACATACACTTAAAATTTTGTTTGTGCACACCCGGGTACAGACAACAACGTAGGCCTATGTTGTTTTTCCGCTATTCTTCTTTTTGCAATATGTCACCATTTTTTCATAAGTATATTTTAATTAATTTTTACTACATACCTTAGATATAGCGTCAAATTGAAATAAAATAATATCCTTTAGCTTACGTTTATTTCTTGAACTATTTCTATTACATAATTTTATACCTTACTCAAGTTCTTGACGATATTGACTTTCTGCTGTATTAAGGTTAGCCTTCCTTAAAACTTCGACACTAGGTAAATATACACTTGGAAGCCATTCTTTAAAGTACAAATCCTGGTTTGGTTGATGACAGTTACGGTAAAAGTAATTTTCGATATTATCAGACATTTTTTAGGTAGGAAATTGAACAAGTAAAAAAAAAAAAAATGCAAAAAAAATGATATTTAGAAATCGCAGAAAAGTGTTGTTAAATCACAAGAAACGAAAATAATAAATCACTAAAAGCGGCAAGTAACAATAACCTCGCTATACTGCCTTTCAAACGGAAAAATAGATTTGGAAAATAGCGATACAAAGAAGATATATGGAAGTGCCCACACCGGGGTAATTATCCAAATTTGAAACAAACTTTCATTGCTCTGCAAAGCGGGCGGTCACATGATCAATTTTGCATATAGAATTTCTTCTAGTGCTCATAATAACTTATTTTTTCTGTTACAAATTTATCTGTTGATCGAACATCCACATAAATAATTTATGAAAGAAAAAATGTTACACATACATATTAATATGTAATCAATATCAATATGATGAAAATACATGTTAATTCAAGATTTTGACTATTTCTCGGCTTATTTTTATATATTAGTATTAGTATATATTGAAGGATAATTATTCCATTGAAATTTTTGATCATATATACTAATATGGATTTTCAGATTGAGTCCTGCGGTTATGAATTTTTTCGTCAATAAATCAAAAAATACAAATTGCCACCTGCTAAAATTATTCCCACGATATAATTATTATTCATTCTTTTTTCATATACATCAAAATATGTTGATACAATGTTTTGGATCATACTTCATCCATTATTATCCTTTGGTTTTGGATAGATAATTCGTTCAAATATTACATGAAAGATAAATTCGAACTTGATTTAAGAGAAAACTTATCTGCATATGAGGAAAGATTGACAATTTTTCTCTATCTATGGTTTTACTTCCGTTGCTCTTATATCCTGCCTGGTATATAATTCGTGTATACAACTTCGGAAAAACTAATATACCACTCTTCTTACAAAGTTACGATCAGGACTACTATAATCAAAAATTAAACCTTCCGATCGTACTCACATTTACACATACTATAATTAGAAACGTATACATTGCCTTTAGTTATTCTTCAAGATATTTATAACCATTTCGTATTTACGGACAGCTTTACAATAAATAAGATAAAGTATAACAACATCGGCGTAATGCTATAAACCGGCTATTTACCTACAACCATCATGATATACATTAATGTCTGTTTACTACAGACCAAAAAAATTAACTTATTAATTCATAACAAATCCATTAAAAAAAATTAATGAATGAGTTTATTGTGTAAAGAAAAAAAAAGGTTCGGATTTAAAATCTTAATAAAGTGATAAACAAAAATAAACTATGATTCTTGTTTTCAATTGTGTGTAACTCCCTTAGTAAATTTCATGAATTTCATGAATGCAAACACTATCTACGAACGGAATATTACTTTCACATCATTTATCCCATACGTTCAATTTTTTCTAGAAATGAAAATCCTTCATAACTTAAAATGATTTTAATTATATCGATGACGACCTATGTTTCTGTTATGCGTGAAAATGAAATTTGTGAATTTGCAATTCACATATGTGAAATTCAATCAGAATTCCATATACAACACCCCACCCCAAAATATTTCGATTTCACATAGTTTCAATTTCACATACAACATTCCTATATCATTCTAAAACTATTTCCAATTTTGTCATTGATCCATAACCAAAGATGAAAAGGGAAGGAATTTTGATATAAACAAACTGTAAATCAAAATAGTACTAATAATAATAATATTAAAAATAATAAATGTGTTTAATAAAAATATATAGCATTATTATTCATCAACATATTTTTTTCCTTACATAAAATTTATGAAAAATTTTCTAGATATATTGTAATATTATATATAACTAGGTGTAACCCGTCAGCTTCGCTGACGGTTTACATCTAGAGCACGTTATAAATAATCTTGTGAATTTTTTTTTTATTTTATTCAAATTTATTTAATACCATAAATTCATAATACTAATAAGTTTGGTTGCATTTATTATAAATATGTATAGATTTAAAAAAATAAAAATTTTAATT